ATGGATGAAGGACATGTATTTTTATGATCTGGGATGAGTTTGTTTGGCGTTTACTTCTCTGTACCATACCTCCAAAATCATAATTAAGATTGAGTTTCACGGTCTTTTGTTCTCTTACGCGTTGTCAATTTACAAAATATCATGCGACTTATCTCTTTACATAGCGTTTGCAGTGAGCATGTATGACTGACTACCTGACCTCTATTTACCAAAGGCTTTATATTTACTAATGAGTGACTATTTAAAAAAAGCTCTAGGTGTTTCTTTAGTTGTTTAAGTACAAGCAGAAGGAGCACAATGAAGTATATGAGTATGGCGATTGATCAAACCTCTCCACCACATTAATTTCTACCACACCGTAACATTTTTATCTGACAAAAAAAAAGAAGGGAAAGACAGTGTATCCGATCTGAGAACAAACACTAAAGCGGAGTAAACCTCCACACAATGGATGATTCAAAAGTCGATAAAAAGAGAAGATTTTGGCGATAAGAGCCCCGAAAATATAACACCTCTCGCATATCATAATGCAAAAGTAGTAATTATGATCTGTCCAAAGTACTGAAGATAATCCTCAGCTTAGGATGACTCGTTATGGTAGAATAGCTTTTCGAAGATAATGTTGATTAAACAGAATGAACATGTCGTAATTCGACGAAGGGAAATCCCAATTTACAGCGAGACTGTGAACAATACAAGCTTGACTTCGTATTTTCTGAATAATGTAGAACCAATTTAAGGTGTTCATAGATATGAGAGACTGAAAGCCGGAAAACAAGAAGCCCCGGAGGATATGTTGTACTGTTATCTTGGTTGCATAAAATCATGTCTTTATGAAGATCGTATGAAGACCCGGAACACAAAAAGCAAATAATGAGTTATAATTAGCTTAGCGGTAGGCACCACCGTATCGAACATTGGTTGGTGGCATACGTGGTGGTGGAGCGCTGCTGATTGTAGGGCCAGAGCCTGGGCCTGGACGAGTTTGAAGGGCAGGGTTGGTGCAGAGCATACCAACTCGGGAACCAAATTTGGAACCACGAAGGGAGACCATATGCTTCCGAATATGAGAAGCAACAATTTCTCGATGTTGTGGGTTGGAGTGCTGCAAAATGTACTGGATCAAGTAATTGCCGTATTGATCACTGGCGATATCGATCAAAGGGATGCGGGGACGATCGAGGCGACCTTCACAAACACGATCAAGGTAACGACCAAGAAAGTCGACACCACCAATCTTGAGGCACTTTTCAACAACCTTAGAAGCAAATTGATCCATGCTGTACTCAGAAGCGTAGCGAATAACATGGTCAATAGCCCGACTACGATCAGCTGGTGCTCCATGCTCGCAGATATGTTGAATGCACCAATTACCGAACTGTCCATGGGCAACAATGTCGATGCTAGCAAGGACTTCTTCAATACAAGGACGCTATAATACAATCAGACCGAATTCAATACAGGAGAGTGTACAGACATACCTTGTCTTCTTCCAGACAGTTCTCGAAGATGTTCTGAACAACCAAACTACCAGTCTCACCAAGAGCAACTTCATGCCACATACCACGAAGAGCTTCATTAACGTACTTCATGATCTGAGGGGGAGACTCGGTCCAGCGAAGTTCAAACAACTTCTGCCAGACATGGCAAGCGTATCTATGAATGACAGTTTCTGGAATTCTACGAAGCAGTTCATGGACCATAATAGCCTTGTAATCTTCTGGAACAGAATCAAAGGCCTTTTGTACAACATGGCAACCGAAAGCATCCATAGAGAGATTGAGAGTATTGCCACGTATAGCCTCTGCAATCTTGATGACTTGCTCTGGAGTACCGTGCTCAAAGCATCGTTGAACCAAGAAGTTGCCAAAACGATTGACCATTAGAGGATAAGCTTGGGCAACAATAGCCTCGACAATATCATATTTCTGCTCTGTTGTGCCCACCTTGAGCTTCTGTTGCAAGAAGATCGAAGCTTGCTGATCATTATTGCAGACAATCTTATCAACAATATACTTCCAGTTACAGTTGACGGTTCTGTCCAGGAGTCGACGATAATTTAACGGCTCAGTGGTTGGTAAATAAGTTTGGTGGCCTTCATTAGCAACCGACTGAAGATAAGTTAGTGAATGCTGCCGAATCAAGTGATTGGTTTTTACCTCAGTCTTCCATGTTCCACTGGCTGAAGTGAACTCTGGTGCATGTGGTGAGAGAGGTGTGCCAATTGGCTGAGGTTGGTAGCCTGAGTACATTCCACTTCCCATGTTCATACCCATGTTCATCTGATTACCCAGTGGAGTTGGAATTCCCCCCATTGATCCGTAAGAACTTGAAGCTGTTGTGAAGCCTTCAAAGGAGCTTGAGCTGCTCGAGTAAGGGATGGAACCTAGATTACGATTGCTATTGAATCTGTTGCCATTGTTACGACGGACTCCACCACCGGGCATTGCCATATCATGCTCATATCTCTCGCCACGAAACGCATTTGGAGGTGGTCCGCCAAATGCCATGTTTGGCTCAACGAATGGTTGATTGCAGCCACCACGACCCATCCATTGTCCAGAAGTATGTGGATCAGAAGGTTGAAAGGAAGGCATTGGTGGAGCATTTGGGAAATTTGGTTTGTTATTGCCCCAAATAGCCCGAGTACGGTTGTAGCCACTTGCGGAAAGAGCATCGCTATGGTCAGAATGTGCGTCTTCTTGGTTGGCCCAGGAGCTTTCACGAGTGACGTGAGGACGGAAATGATTTGGAGGAATGCCGGCAGAGGGGTCTGAAACATTTCCAAGAGGAAAGTCTACTTCAGAAACACTACCAATAGCTTGGTCAATAGTGTGCTTTGTAATGCGGTTTTGTGCAAGCTCTTGGTCCATGCGTGCAATTCTTCCTTTTGCAGCCTCCAACTCAATCTTGAGACGTAGAACCTCTTCAGCACTAGGCTGGCTATCGCCATCACCACGACTCTGAGGACGAGTAGTCGGAGCAGTTGTTGCTGTTCCAGAGTCAAAACTTTCCGTAGCAGGTGTAATTGGGACAGAAGTAGGAGCAGAGCAGTAGTCGAGGGTTCGTGAATTGTTCGAACTATAGTCATCTGAGTTCCTCAAAGCTTCATGTTGGCGATTGAGAACTGCTTGTTGCTCCGAAAGCTTGGCCAATAATTTATCGACTGGATTTGGCGAGTTGTCGAAAGTAGGGCATTGGAACGAAGGAGCTGTGGCAGTAGGGGTAGTGAAAGTCTCGTGGCTTAATTTCATCTTCTGTATCCGTTAGTATGCATTGAATTATTGAGTGGATGAGATTGTTACCTTAGGAGCAGCTTGGTTGCCCAACTTGTTCGTAGAAAGAGCTGTAGCGGCCTTTTTGAGAGTATTAGCATTGTCCTGGATAATACTGGTCAGTAAGATATGCGAGAGGTTTAAATAATGAGATTGCATCGACGGTGTTTGGTTGGAAATCAAGCATTGAGGACTCTGCTAGTGAGCTCACTCGAGAAGAAATGGCAATGTGAGGAATGGTGAAATTTAGTGGAGAGGGGTGCCAGAGGTACAGAAACGGCAATGAATAAGGAAGACGACGACGAGATTTGAAGAAGAGGCAAACTCACCATTCTTGAGGTTAGTTTATCAACAGCATCGTCACCGAATCCAGGGTTCTCATGGCTGCTACGATCAATTGTACGACGGAGGGTTGGCGATCCATTGGAAGCAACTGAGGAAGCCATGTTGCTTGTGAGATATCTTAGTGAGTGGCTTTGAAAGGAAAGTAAAAATCCAATGCAGATTGTGCGGACTGAATAGATCGAAATTGACTGTTGAATGGCTCACTCGTAGATGAGTTGAAAGTAGATGAAGAGAAATGAAGATTTAAAGATCAAGAAAACAAATATAAGAGTCGTAGCTCTGAGGAGATGTAGATAGAGAAGTAACGTCTATCCTTTGCAGTTGCTCTATCCTCTATATCAAATGGCATGCAAAAATTGAAAGTATAATTCACTATATTTGGAATTGAGGTTTGAAGAAAGAATGAAGGTCCGGTCGTTGGGGGGGAAAAAAAAAGAGGTCGAAAGTGATTTTGTGCGGGTGTTCGGCAAGCTTTATATTCACTCAAAGAATCTTACGCTCTGTCGTCTCGCATATTTCAACTCTCAAGTCTTTGTATGATTGGATTGGCAGATTCTTTATATAAATCAGGTAAATATGAGACGCAAGTAGAGTAAGAGCCTTTATCAAAGAGAAAAGTAAATCAAGTGCTGCAAGGGAGAAAATCCGGAAAGCTCGAGGAATACAAAGTTCCAGCAAGGTCGCTCTTGCCTCTTCTTCTGAGTGTCAACACCACTCAAATTCCCACAGGAATGAATTCTCTGAAAGAATCTCAACTACTCCAAAGCTTACAATTGGTGAATGTAAATTACCTTTCAGGCCGGAGTATCAAACCAAGATTCATTTTGAGCATACTGTCTTTCCATGATGGTCATATGGAGGGATAGCAACATGGATAGAATTGTAGAAAGCACGACAGGTCATTGTGTCCTCTGATCGTGTTTAGAAATGCTAGTAGAGATGAATAGTACTTAACACATATGACCTTCTTTAATTTCTGTATACTTCCATGTTACATTAGAAAGAAACCATCCATGGCTCCAACTTTCACCATGGCCTTGAAATTCTAAGCCATAAGCTGCCAGGAAGGGTTTTGAGATCGAAATCGGCGTGATTTCAATACTTCGTAACCATAGAAGGAGCTAGTTCGTTCCAAGGCTGCCGTCACTTGCAGTATTGTGGCTTCTAGCTGAGATCTCAATGCTTTCAGGAGCGATGTATGCAGATTCATAATAATCTTTCTCATTTGACTGAGCCTCTGCAATTTGCGTTCAGGGGCCTGGAAATGGAACGAGAAACCCTCCACCAAGCACCGCCCGAAGAGCTGATCCCAAACGCCAGTAATGCTACAGTTGTAAATTGCTGTACAAGTTATGTTTTGGATATAAATCTCATCCTCATCTACCTCTTCTTTCCCTTGAACTTCTTGGAATCTGAGTAAATCTGTTAGTAATTGCTGTTATGTCCGCAGCGTACCACATACCTTCTGCAGTCCTCTTCTTTTTTGGTGCTCCCTTTCCTCTCGCTTTCAGACTACATTAATGTTAGCATGAGTTCCCAAACACTGATATAGATGATGCACATACATCGTAATATGTTCAAATCTATCTTCCTCAGCATCATCATAGGTCTCGACATCATATTCGTCATAAGCTTTCTGCATATCCTTAATTGTAGCCATCTTTCGTGGGTAGTATGCAGCCAATGCAGGTCCCTTTAACCTTTGTCGAAGAATCTTGTTTCCTGTTCGAAGTCTATCAGGATTGAATGTGGTTGAGAAGATCCGGCATTGGACCTGTACAACTGAGATTAGCCCTATGTTCCAGGTCTTGAAATTATACAGGAAAATACCTTCATCAATTCCAGCACTCTCGACTTCGCGACCGACATGTTCAGTGATATAGGCTTGGATTTGCTGTTCAAGTCTGGTTATTCATCAATTCTACAGATTTTAGCGGTGCTGTGAGGGATTTCGGGCCTTAGTTGATCCAGGCATCACGTGCCTTTGAAGTTCTGGTCTGGCTCGCAAGTTTTCGAACATTATATTATGTAGATTGTTAACCAGTTTTTCAGTTTTCGGTTTTCAATTAAACAAATCTGAACCCCTTTTTCTTCTTCATTGATTGATTGAATCTTCTTCAATAATTTTCTCTTTATTTCATTAATGTTTATTGTAAACAATCACTTGTACTCCAAGCATTGTAATAGTGTATGCATCCGACTCAAAAGCAAATTTGGGAAAACTAGTCAAGCTAGAAATGCCATCTAAACGTCCATTTCCTTTCGAGAATGGCAGCGGTAAGGAGCACAAGAAAAGAAATGTAAGTCAGATTTCCCGAGCACATACATAAAGCTAATTCAAATTCCAGATAGATTCTTCGTCGCCCGGGAAAATCTCCAAATTATTGTGTGCACTAGAAGAGCTTCTTGGCGAAGATGGTGTGGGAGAAGTTGAGGCTTTAATGGGCGGTGCAGCCTTTTCAGGAGCAACCGAACTTTGTAATACACTACGAGACCAAGTGCAGTCAGACTTGATCAATGCCAGCTCTAGTGGTTCTGGGGACTTTAAGGTTGAAAGTTCATCTCAAGAACCCGTCGTTGGAAACCCGGGAAAAATATTAACAACTCTGCAAATTACACCATGGACTTTGTCTTCCATTCCATCAAAACTTCCACCCCTTCCAGAAGTTTATGATCCTACTCTTGAGCTGGCTTCGTTCACTCACCATGGCCGTACCAATGGTAGCGTTACTGATTTGAGCTATGAACGCCTAGAATGGGTGGGAGATGCATATATCTACACTATCTCTACCCTTCTCATATCACAGACATTCCCTGCTTTATTGCCTGGAAAATGCTCCCAACTTCGTGAAAGACTCGTCAAGAATGTTACTTTGGCTGATTTCGCACGAAAATATGGGTTCGAAAAGCGCGCGAAATTGCCAGAAGATACTCTCCATCCCATGAAGGAACCGGAAAAAGTCAAAGCAATGGGAGATATTTTTGAGGCATATGTCGCAGCCATTGTGCTCTCAGATCCGGAAAATGGGGTTTCACGTGCATCAGAATGGCTGAAAAGTCTCTGGGCCATGGTGTTGTCGAAAGAAATCCAACAAGAAGAGCGGAATGAGGATAAATTGGATAGCCCCCTATGGAGATTGAGAGGCAATGTTGACCATGTCCAGACAAAAACTAGAAGCGTTCTTAATCCCAAAGAGAAATTACAAAAGGCGCTCAGTTCGAAAGTCAGTAAATTGACGTATAAGGATATTGGAACAGCCAAGAAGGATAAGCACACTAAACTCGCAGTGTTTACAGTAGGCGTTTTCCTTGACGGATGGGGTGAAGTTGACAAGCAGATTGGGTTTGGAAGTGCAAATGGCAAGAAAGAGGCTGGCTTCAAAGCCGCAGAGATGGCGTTGAATAACAAGAAGATGATGGCCAAGTACTTGGAAAAGAAGAAGATCTACGATGCACAACAGGAAAGAGAAAGAATTGCGCTTCAAAAGCAAGAAGAGAATTGATCATGATCAAAAGCTAAAAAAGGAAAATTATGACCTTACATACGGATGGTCAGTAAGGGCTCTCATCTTGAGGGATAACCAGGTATTGATAGACGATTAAGGATTGCGTGGATTGCAGCGGTTAACATGAATTCAGGTTCATTGCAGTGCATTTGTTTAAACGTTACTTGTTGGCAGGGAATAGATACCCAAAAATTAAGTTTCCAGATAGGACATGAAATAATTAACATATCCGCATCTTCATGAGCTACTTTTGTGAAGGCGTTCTTGAGGTGTTCGAATGCATCCATCATACATACTTTCAGCGACCTTGGATCCATTCTCAGGCAATCAACTAATGTGTGTTATCATTTTACTGGTTGTTCCCCTTGCGCAGAAAACATCATTGTGGATCATTGACTTGAAAACCCTCAAGAATCCTTACAAACACTTGTCAATTGACACTTCTACATATTTCATGTTCCCGCCTCTCAGGAACCGCAATATATTCTGTTCTTCAATATTGTCACTCCAAAGCAACCTTCCACAGCATAGAAAAAGTCCCCGAGTCAGGGGTGTGAGTAACGATCTTAAGGTGAGATTACTAGCGCGGTCCTTTCCGGCACCGCTGATCCTTGTAACTACTCCATTTCTTCGAGCCTCGGTTGGTCATTGCAGGTACAAACGCGAAAAGATGCCGCATGATTATCATTTAATATTTGCGTTTCCTTTCATTTCAGATCTCCCACTTTGCTATCTATAATAACATTCCTTTATTCTTTTGAAATCGTTGCTCCAAGTTTGTGAAGAGTGCATTTGCTGTCGAGAATCAAGTTCATAGATCTATAACATTGGGCTGGGACATTGTATGCTGAATAGATGAGAGAGGAGGGAACGCTCTGGAGATAAGATGGCGGATTCTGTGGGTAAGTAATGCGCTGTCGGTTCCTGATGACGATGCATATCTACCCTATCCTACCAAATCTGCCCTGAACTGCTGCAAAGGTTCCGATTGTACAAGTCTGACTCTTCCCAAAATGCCAGACCGAGTATTCGTCCACGCGCTCAACACAGTAAAAAAGATACCCAAGACTGGAGCATCGCGGCCGCCTCCTGCAGATCGATTACGTCTCTATGGATTATACAAACAGGCTATGGAAGGGGATGTGGATGGTGTCATGATGCGGCCGAGCTCTAGAGGCGAGGGGGAAGATGGTGAGGCGGGATTAAAGGGAGAAGAATTAAAGAGGGAAAGGGATAAATGGGATGCGTGGGATGCGCAGAGAGGGGTTAGTAGAACGGAAGCAAAGAGGAGGTATATTGAAGCGTTGATTGATACTATGCATAAGTATGCTAGTACTACTGCGTAAGTCATGGATCTCCTGCCGTTGAAGCGCAATCTGTGAGGGTTGAGGACAAGCTAATTTCAGATGTGGCAATGCAGAGATGCGAGAGAATTAGTTGCGGAATTAGAGTTTGTCTGGGATCAAATCAAAAATAATACTCCATCATCCACGGGATCTTCGCCTGGCCATCGCGTGCCATCGTATACCACTCAACCGAGACAATTTCTAGAACCAGTGTCAGGGACCGACGGCGCGATGAGAGTATTGAGTCCAATGAGCCAAGACGATGAGGCCGAAAGGGAATCTGACAGAAGATTGGGACGCAATGGTGAAAACGAAGAGGAATATACCGATGGCAAAAACAACAAGACGAAATGGAGGAAGAGTGTGGAACAAGCGCTAGTGAAAATGACAGCTGAGATAGCAGCATTGAGAGAGCAGATTGCTACAGGCCGAGAATACCAGGGCAAGAAGTCAAGGTCGCCAAGAAAATGGCTGGCTTGGTTTATTTGGATTGCCATCAAACACTTTTTAGTGGATATGGCGCTATTAGGTCTCATTCTGCTATGGATGAGACGGAAGAAGGACAGGAGAGTAGAGGATCTTGTAAGAGAAGGACTGAGGATTGGGAGGGAATATGTGAGGAAAGTCTTACCCTCTCGGTGATAAGAGACCGATCTTTGAAACTTACAACTTATAATTACGACCAAGAACGAATATAATTGCCGGATGTTCTCACTTCATATTAGACAACACAATATTCAGAAATCGGTCAAAGACACCTTACTAAAGACAGAATTATATTATACCCATCAAACAATATCCAATACACACATCACCACCATCTATCAAGTCGCTCTTCGCACAGAGAGAGGCATCTACGAAGGCATGCCCTCCATCTGCGCAGCATCAGGGATCTCGGAAAGCCACTTCACCCTCTCCTTAACATACAATTCCCCCTTGGGAACATTCTCATTCGGCCAATTGACATCATCTAAAACACCAGCTTTGAGAATTACTTGGTTGGGGAAAGAATCGCCAGTGCGGTAGAGAGTGGTGCCACAATCACCGCAAAAGTGGGAGGTGATCTGATTGCCAGAGTCGGCTTTTTTGCTGATGGTTTTGGGATTTCCTAGAGGTGTTAATCGATGGAATTGTGGGATGGGACATTGGTTGCGAAAGGGAAAGAGGAGAAAACGGGGGAACGGATGGGAAATGGGAAAACGCTGGAAGGCGTGGGAATCACGAACCAGATTCGAGCTTGAATTGTCCTTCCGGTAATACGACGTTGTTACTATAAGTAGCGCCGGTAATTTTTCGACAATCGGTACAGTGGCATAGGAGATGGGCTCCTGGCTCGCCGGTGTAGCTTATGCGGATCTATGAGATTGGCGTGGTTAGCATATACGGAACAAGACGGAGGTGGGCGGTTGTAATATATATATTGTAACCTTATAATGACATGAAACAGATAGGGATTGGGGGGAAGGGGTAAAATACCGCATCACAGAAACAGCCTCCTGAAGGCATTTTCCGATTAATGGTATATTGAAGTTGAGAGAGGTTAGACGTAGTATTGAGTAATCAAAAAGATGATTATAGATATGAATTGCTGGCTGTCTGTCTAAGAACTATATATATACCTCCTCCTTCCCCTACCAAATCATCTACCTGCCTTGTTCCACTCATCCTGAGCTTAGCAGCACACCATCAAGACATTGGGGGGGCGGTAGAGGTCAAAACTCGAGCTAAGGGGTGCGGAGCAGATGAAGCTAGGCGTTAACATTCCTTTCTCCCGAGACGGGAGAGCTTCTGTGGAGACTGGCGGTGCATATTTGGAATGAGATTTGGAGGAATGTGAGACGGCAGTTTGCGGCTAGGGAGATGGAATGGATGATATAATATTGGATGAAAGGAGGAGGGGATAGAATGGGAGGATAGATCACTGATATCAACAGAATAGCACCATAAAAAGTGAATTTCGATTTGTGAAATCATTGGTAAGATAAGATAAGATAAAACTACCAGCAATACAGAGTGAAGAGTGAATCAAAATTACTTTCATATTCAATTGATAGTCAATCAATCAAAATCAGTATTCGCTGATCGAACAAAGCGTGTCGGCAATCGTTGACCCCTCCCATTCACCTCCCCACAACTAACAATTTATCATTCCTAGGTAACTGTAACAACCTTATTAGTTAACCTGACAAAGTAACTTTACATCACCACAAAATTCTAGTCCTGACCACAGCGTTCGGCGTTATCCCAGAATCATTACGTGCAGTCTAAAGTAATCAATCAAAGCACAGAGATCAATGGTCAAGGATATCTGTGTCATCAGTCCAGGCTTTCTATTGGAACAGTTCCAAGCTCGCGTTTCACGATGGGTCAAGCATCTGAATTAGAGACGCGTCCACGAGATGTGAGTTGGAATCTCACGTTCACACGTGATATTGATTACATCCCCCTACTCTTTCTACTCCTCCTCTTCTTCGAGCTTCGATTCTCGGTGTCATGTTTGCTTTGAGAGAGTGAAGACTGACATATTATAAGACGCCTCTGGATACCGCAATCAATGCTTCAATCTTTGTCGCTTTCAATGGATTTCCAACTGGCCCTCCTGCGCCCACCGATCGTGATACTAAGATCAAGAATTTCAAGCGGCATAATCGTCTTGTTCGTGCGAATATTGTCAAAGCGTTCGTGGTGGAGAAAGAGAAGCTGTTGGAGAGGTTCAAGGATGATATCGCGAGGCAAAAAGATGCTATTGAAAGAGGGAGAGCTAATAGAGTCGTAATTTCGATCAAGGAGGATGCGAGGGAGAGGAAGAATAGCAAAGAACTTGAAGATCTCTCTTGGTTGAGAGGTCCGAAATGGTTGTTGGAGTTGCAAGCACAGGATAGGGATCGGGGAGTCAATGGTGTTTCCCAAGAGGAAGTGCAGTACAGGGATAAGAGATTGAGGAAGGAAATGGAGGGGCATAAGAGTGAAGAGTATGAGTGGAATCTTAAGGATTTCCGTGGTCCTGCGCCGGGGGTTGAGACAGAGGAAGAGATAGATGGTAGCAGGGATAGCGAGGGAGATATTGTGATGGGAGGATTGGATTCATCGAATGTGTCGCCCACGGAACTCAGTACTCCGTCTAGCACGACGGCAATCTTTGAGCTCGAACAAAAGCTTGATAGAGACCTACAGCGATTGCTGGAAGAGGGAATCAAGAAGATAAGGGAGTATGATGTTCATGCGGATAATTCCGTAAAACAATTTAAAGATAAATTGGCGCAGGACATTATCAATGGCCTTGGATTGGACACAACGGAGGGTGAACAATTGAAGAGCACAGGGTCGAAGATCAATCTACCAACTCCGTCCGTGCCTCATGTGGGTATACTGAAAAAGAGGTCTATTTCAATGCAAGCCCCCACGGATTCACCAGCTAGTGTTCCGAAGAAATCGGTATCGATCCAGACTCCATTGGAGGGCGGAGCTGATTGTGGTAGTACTTCGAAGAAGTCAGTATCAATGGAACCTACCAAAGAGAATGGTGGTAGTCCTTCAAAGAAACCTATATCAATTCAAATACCACGCAAACCTCAAAATGGAGTTTCGGGAAGACCACTTGTACAAAGTCTAATGGACATTACTGGTAGCGCTTCAAAGAAAGTCCGTCTTGATGATCCCTTCTGGACCGACCTTTCGAGTTCAAGTTCAACTCCTCTGTCCATGGATACTCCAACCAGTGCACGGAGCCAGGGTCCTTTCCCATTGAATACCCGTACGGGTCCAGCAAAGTCCAGGCGTCCCTCAAATTCTTCCAGTGGGCCTCCTACTCCCAATGCACCAAATGTTCGGACGGGTCCGGCAGATCTTAAACATTCCAGGTGTCCATCAAGCTCCTCGAGTCGACCGCAGAGTCCCAATATCCCGACCTCCCTCGCCGGCTCTGCGAATGCCAATGCATCTACACCCCATCTTTCTCATTCTAGAACTGCGCCAAAGGATTTTTCTTCTCCTCGTCGGCCAACTAATGCCAATCTGCGAGGCGGTTCAGCTTCGCCGCCCACAATTTCCACACCATCGATAGATTCTAAAAGCACTGACTCTTACGCCGGCAAGAAATTCATATCATCATTCACCTCGCTTCCCAAGCCTGGTAATCGATCTAATCTGAACATTCTTATTGGGGATGAGATTGAAGTTACTGAACATGAATCAAGGGACGAATATATTGCATTTAACAAGACTTCGAGAAAGACGGGTCTTATCGATATCAAACATTTCATGCAGGACATCGAGCCCATTGGACTGCTTGGTGTAACCTTCATATCTTCAAGCCGATATGCTCCAAAATCTTACAACACCTTTTATGATTTAGAGATTGATTATGGTGATAAAGTCAAGATCACGTCGCAGCACTCCCATGAGGCATATGCAGGCTTCAATATGAGAACAAAACGGGCGGGAATGTTAAATACGAAATATTATTTGAAGGATATTGAAGACACCGAGCTTATCAACAAAATCGCCATGCGATCTGGCCCCCGTTACACTGATTCTCCTATTTCACATATCGGTAAAACCTTCATAGCAACAGATACCCAGAGCCCCAAACATGCTAGAGATGTGACTACGCTAAATATTAGAATTGGCGATAAAATTGAAATTACCAATTATAACTCTGGAAACACTTTTGCAGGTTTCAACAAGACGTCAAAAGAAAAAGGGCAATTCAACATGGAAACTTTCTTGGGGGATGTCAAGAAATCTAGTCTTGAACTCATTGGCGAGCCATCCACATCCAAGAACAAACCCCAAACCAGCAAGAATGTACACGTTGGCAAGACTTTCATTGCATCACACGACTATTATCCACGTAGTGATGCACCTGATGATCTGTCCATAAGATATGGAGATGCCATCGAACTTGTCAGGCATGACTTTGGTGACATGTTTGAAGGGTATAATAACAGCACAGATAGGATGGGGTTAGTCAATATTTCATACTTTATGAGAGACATCAATTCCGTTGATACAATTAGAGAACCTGTCTCAGCAACTGGGTCTCGACTTTCTGAAAATTACTCATATGATATTGGTATTCCACAGACCGACGGTAAAGACGACTCCGAGTATTATCCCAAAATTAGTCCCAATGCACATGTTGGCAAAACCTTCATCGCATCACACTCCTGGCTTCCCAATAACGGGATTGATCTAGCAATAGGTTTTGGCGATGAGATTGAAATTATCAACGACATTTTTGAGGGAAACTATGAGGGTTACAATCTCAGAACTAAGAGGTATGGCCAATTTCAAGCCAAGTTCTTTCAGAAGGATATCGATGCTATGGACTATGTTGGAAAGATTTTCACAGCCACGAGCAGCCTACATGATCCGGATTTTGATGCCCTACAGATTAACTTTGGTGATGCCATTGAGATCACGAACATCATAGGTCGAGATCTGTACACAGGAAATAATCTAAGCACCAGGCAAATGGGAGGAAAGTTCTATATTGATCAATTCCGAGAAGATGTCAAGCGTGGTCATTATACCGGTATTGATGACAACCGAGGAAACGACGAACATCGCCATTTCGCTGATGAGATCTCGGATGGCCATTCCGCTCATGAACCTCAAGATAATGGTTCACCTCACCATTATATCGACAAAGTCTTCACAGCAACAAGCAGTCAGAGTCCTCGCAAACCTTCAGACACCATCACGCTATCGATATCCATAGGTGACCTGATTGCAATCAACAAGTTCGTCTCCGGTTCCACTTTTAGCTGCTCCAATATTACGAGTGGCAAAACCGGACATGTAAAATTGGATAATTACTGGAAGGATATCGAGACTACGGAGAGATTCAGAGATGGCATGGTTACCGAATCGTCTGCTAGTAGAATATCTACGCCTAGTCATTTGGAGCATGGTGTACACCATCAGCAATGGCTGCAAGAACAAGAACGATCGGAAAGGACGAAATTTAACATCAAAGGGGCGTCGTGGAACCCATCGATTGTCAGGGGATCTTTCTAACGAAGTGGATTGTACGATATGCTGAATAAAGGGGAGAGAAGCGAGATTGGGATGAAAAGTATTAAGCATGCATTTGACCAGGAGATGTACATATTTGGGTCACGAATGGAGTTTAGAACTTCGATTCATGCTCGAGATGGGGTATTCGAATTGGGATTGGGGCGGGAAAAGTTTTTGACCGGAGGTTGAGGAGAAAGTGGGAAGATTTTACATTGTGTTTCATTGCATTGCGTTGCATTGCGTTGCATTGCATTGCTTATGTGGGGGGATTTGGTAATATGTCTTGAGAGGAGAGAGTCTATGATTAGATATTTAGATACTTGGATATCGATTTCGAATTTTGCTCGCTTCTTTTCCGGTTGGTTCATGGTCTGATTGATTGATTGATTGGTTGGTTGGTTGATTGTTCATCTCTGAACTTTTATTAGTTTTCTGACGAAGGAATGTGGATGGTGAACGGGTATGAATTCCAGAAGTTGGTAGACTGGCTGGCTGGCTGATTGGTCATCCTGAACGCCTTCGCTTAGAAAAACATGCAAGCCAGCCTAACCATAAAACTACCTGGTATACTCAAGCCGACCCTTCCCCCGCACTTCCCCCCTCCCCACCCCTCTGTTCCCTCACCTTTCTCAATCTCTCCTCCGCGGCCTTCGCCAAAATCTCCCTCCTACTCAATCCCTGACCCAAATCCCCCCTTGTACTCTCCGCGCCCCCCTCCCCTCCCACTCCCAATACAAATTCTCCCCCCCTCCACCCCCCATGATCATCCACCTCCTCTCTACTATAATACTCCTCCTCCCCCACCACATGACCCCCACTCCTCCAATCATTCCCCTCGACCTCCTTCTCAATCTCCTTACACAGATTCCAAAAATTCCGATCATGCGGTCCCCACACGTTATGCGCCAACTCATGACACAGCGTCCTGCGAATCGTTTTGTAATCGCGATATCCATCATACGCATCTGTTCGCAGCCGTAATTCGATGACTTCCCCCTGATTCCTATTGAGCCCCAAGGTGCGCGATGTACCTTCATGATTAGAGACGGTATGTTCGATGGGATTCATTTCCGTCAGGAGAGGGACGGTAAATTTGTGTTTGCGCATGGCGGCTTTGATCCCCGCGTCGTCTTTGAGGCGTTGGAGAAACGCCAGAGATTTAGAGGGGTTGGGGAGGTAGGGAAGAGGTCGTAGGGTTTGGAATGTGTATTGGGCTTCTTCTTGTTCGCGCTTCCAGTCGCAAGTTTTGTATGCGGAGACTCTGGGCGCGGGTCGAGTAAAGGGACCGTTGACGATGCGGGAGGCGGCGAGTGCGCCGGCGGCGACGGAAGATGCTTCTGCGATGGTGCTTCCCATGAGAGTTATTTTTTTGTCAGAGAGGGATGTGATGGGTAGGGAAGGGTCTTTAAAGGGTAGTTTTAAAAGACCGAGTTTGGAGACCATGAGTTTTTGATTTCGAGGGGGGATGGAGAGGCTGGCTGAGATGGAATCGGACAGGTCGGTGATGGTTGCTGTGGGGGGTAGAGAGAAGATGTGAGGTTTGCCATGGTGAGTGATGGTTATGGAAACTAGATGTTGGGGGTTAGTAGACTTGTCGTCGTCGCTGTTGGAATCCATGATATCTGCGGGATTTGGACTTTATAGTTTTGTAATTCACAGCACGGTGCGAATGAATCAAACGATTGCAATAGCTATACCAGTACTTGTAGAAAGAGTGTATTATATTATATTGCAAGCTAGATAAAGTAGATACTTTAGAACTATCTAGGCCAAAAACCGCTTGGTAATCATCTCATCCTATTCTCAGCAAACGTCTTGCCACAAACCAAGCTAAGGATTACATAATCCATCACCATTCTTTGCCAAGCTTCCCGATCCGCCGCCGCCAATAACCTTACTTGATCATCCCTGGTCTTAATGTACCTCTTTACAAGGCTAAATCGAGACTCAGAGTTAGCACTTAGCTAAGCTTCAAGTTGCGTGTCCTCAATCCCGTCCATCAACTACATCGACAACTGCGCCATTGAATTTGTTATATCAATTGATTTATTGATTTCAATTGTTTTGCTTACTTCTTGACTCGGTTCTCAATACCTTTTCTTTGACCCTTTGCGTCTTTGAAATAAAGTATCGGCGATTGCGCATGTGTAGGGAAACTCCCTTGACTTGCTCATCATGAATCTTTTTCGAATCCTGGGTATGTTTATCCTCCCAATTATCATCGCATATGGATTCAAGAGCTAATTAATTGCGCGCTACTAGGGGATTTCTCCCATCTCCTATCAATCCTGATTCTCCTCCACAAAATGCACCAAACAAACGTACGTCCCCTCCCTACCTCATCCTCCTCCCCCCCCCAAAACAACCAACTAACCCTCTCCCCCAGTCCTGCGCCGGCATATCCTTCAAATCTCAAGCCCTCTACCTCCTCGTCTACGTAACCCGATACCTCGATCTCTTCTGGACCTTCACCGATTCCCTCTACAACACCACTTTCAAGCTCCTCTTCCTCTGCTCCTCCGGCTACACCATCTACCTGATGACCACCTCCTTCAAACCCACCCACGATCCCAATCTCGACACCTTCCGCGTGCAATATCTTCTTGGGGGTTCCCTCGCCCTCGCGTTCATCTACCCCTATGCCTACACCCCCTCTGAAATCCTCTGGGCCTTCAGCATCTGGCTTGAATCCGTCGCGATCCTGCCACAACTCTTCCTCCTCCAACGAACCGGAGAAGCCGAGACGATCACGGCGAATTATCTCTTCGCGTTGGGAAGTTACAGAGCGTTATATATACCGAATTGGTTGTGGAGATATTTCCAAGAGAGTCACTGGGATGGAATTGCCGTGTTTGCGGGTGTGATCCAGACGGTTCTTTATTCGGATTTCTTTTGGATTTACTACACAAAGGTTATGAAGGGAAAGAGATTTACTTTGCCCGTATAACTTCCTTGGAGTGTTTAATGCAATCCCAGCTTTATTTTACTAAAGCAGAGATCGATACCAAGGAAATGAATTAGGAAAGATGCGCAGACGAGTCAGTTCGCGAAGGAGAGGGAGACTCACGAAAGAAAAATGAAAAGCGGTACGACAAATGGCTCGATGTTGAAGTAGAGCCACAGACAAAATAAGATATGATGAGCATGGTTTGGCGTTGAATGGAGACGGGTCTAGATTCTGCTCGAAGCACAGCAGGGTATGGAAATGAGGCTCATTTTTTCTCCAGCAATTTTGTACAGTATTTGTAAAATGCATAGAGTATGTTCTCTGACCCATTGAAAGTGCAAACTAAGCTCTAAAGTGACTGAAAAGGTAAACATATTTGTCTACTTCATGTCAATTCATAAGCTTCACATTATTATGCATTCTATCCACCCCCAAAACCCCCGTAACTGACATCATCATTTTCTTAAATTGTCATTCTTTCATTCGACTGCCTACAACCCATATATACACAAACACCATCGTTTGACGCACGCAAGAAACCCAAATACAAAAACCCATCCAGATCAAGATCAAGGACCATAAGCGACTCTTCCACGAGGATTTTCGCTCGAGTAGCCTGGCGCCAGGAAATTAGTTTCTGGGTTTCCTGTCTCCTTTGCTGCTGAACATCTGGCCATTGTTGGGGAACTGTAATTTATGTTAGTTCTAGGTCTTTCGAGATCGAGGGGTAAAAGGTAAAGGGATAGCATCGGAGAAAAAAGATGTGAATAAACTAACCTTCTTGAAATAACATCTGTGAAGTAAAAGTTATCGATAACCTTCTTCAAAGGCGCACCAGTTGCCTTGCTACCCTTGTTCTGATCTACCAATTGAACCTTGCTCAATTGTCTCAAAGCAACTGGTTCAACAACATCATAGCTAGCTAATGAAGGACTGATCTCCACCATACGATCACGCAGAGCAGCGACATCATCATATGGTAGTGGAGCACCCAAGAACTCACTGACTGCTCGGATAATCTTCCAATCAGTTCTTGCGGCACCAGGTAATGAAGTAGCGGCACGGGTCATTTGTACACGTCCTTCGGTGTTAACGTAAGTTCCGGCCTTCTCAGTGTAAGCGGCACCTGGAAGAACGACATCGGCGATTTGAGCTCCACGATCACCGTGATGACCTTGGTAGACAACAAAGGCGTTCTTGGGGATATCGGCAGCATTAAATTCATCAGCGCCGAGTAACCAAACGAATTTAGGCTTTGTCTCAGCAACAGCTTGGGAAGGTGTGGTGAAACCAACTTCGAAAGCACCAGCTCTTGAGGCAGCACGTTGAAGAACATTGTATCCATTCCACTCCTCTGTCAAGAAGTTGGAGGCATGTTTCTCAACAAAGGTACCGACCATCTCGTACATGGCCTTGGCATCAGCGTGGTCAGTGACACCTGAACCAACGATAATCATTGGTCTCTTGGCCTCTGCCAGCTTCTTACCGAAAGGTCCAGCGAGGGTCTCCTTCAAGGCGGCAGCATCAGTACCGAGGTGTTCGAATTCGAAAGTTGATTCCCACGCTTCACCGACGACACCGATCTCAAGGTCAGAACGTAACCATTGTTTGCGGATACGAGCATTAAGGCCAGCAGCTTCATGTCTGGTGTTGCTTCCAACAATCAAGATAGCATCGGCTTCCTCTACACCCCAGATCTTAGAGTTGAACAAGTAATTCGAACGAACGTCGATTCCATGTGGCATAGGGGCGTTTCCGGATGGTTGATCAAGAGCCAAGTTCTCAGAGCCAAGCTTGTTGGCAAGATCCTTCATAGCAACCATGGACTCAGTCTCAATCAATTCTCCAGCAATAACCTTGAATTCGTTACCCTTTGGAGCAAAATCTTTGTATGCTGCACCAATTTCAACCAAAGCTTGCTCCCAACTGACTGGAAGGAATTTTCCATCCTTCTTGATTAGCGGGGTAGTAAGTCTTTGAGTTTTCAATCCATCACAGGCAAATCGTGTCTTATCGTTGATCCATTCCTCGTTGACATCGTCGTTTAATCTAGGGAGAATTCGCATAACCTCGAGACCTCTCGAGTCGACTCGAATGTTTGATCCTAAACCGTCCAATACATCAATAGATTCGGAGTGTTTCAATTCCCAAGGTCTAGCTCTGAAAGCGTATGGTTTTGATGTAAGAGCTCCAACAGGGCACAAATCTATAATATTTCCAGACATCTCGGAATCCAGGTTCTTTTCAAGGTATGTTCCAATTTGTAAATCGTTTCCACGTCCAGTTGATCCGAGTTCCGGTGCACCAGCAATATCGTTTGCGAATCGAATACATCTTGTACATTGAATACATCTGTTCATCGAGGTCTTGATGAGGGGTCCAATATTTTTATCCTCAGAGGCACGCTTGCCACCAACTTCATGGAATCGCCCACGATCAGCTCCATATCTCATAGATTGATCTTGCAAATCACACTCTCCTCCCTGGTCGCAAATAGGACAATCTAGCGGGTGGTTGGCCAATAAAAATTCCATAACTCCTTCTCGGGCTTTGTGTGTGAGGGGCGAACTAGTCTTGACGACCATGCCGGGCTGTACCGGCCATGCGCATGATGCAACTGGCTTTGGTGCTTTCTCGACTTCAACTAGACACATACGACAATTTCCAGCAATCATAAGTTTTCTATAAAAAGATGTTCGGATCAGTGGGGTTCGTCTATAATATGCGTACTCGTGTCGACTTACTCGTGATAGCAATATCTATGAAAGTGTTAGCGGGAAACTTCACCACATAGAATCTCTTTTGGGAGCTTGCCTTGGAATTGTGACTCCTGCCTTCTCACATGCTTGAATTAAAGCAGAACCAGCTGTGGCGTGTCAACAACTTTTCCCTATCCCAATTGTAACCATTCCCAGCATACCTTCTATAGAAACTTGTTTGCCATCTAGTATAGAAATTAGCCAAATCTCCTGTGAAATCCTTCGCAGATCCAATGCTGCTTACCAACAGTAAGAGTAACCTCTGCCTGTCTTCTATTTGTAGTCGCGAATGTTCTTGCAACATATAAACTTTGTCTACTGCTTCGTAGAGCGGATCTCGATAACGTTGACCTCAGCATGGTGTGTGTATGTAGAATCTGGGTATGACAAAGAAGAAAGAAATAAACTCAGCAGTACAAAAGAGGTGGCGAGGGGAAACCCTTCAATTGATTAATTATCTACTTCTTTACCCCAAATTCACTTGAAGCTCTCGTCGTTCGGATGTAACTTGTTAGCGTATATCGTGGAATTTACTAATCCCGTTCCCCGTCATCGTGATTGGTTCTCCCAAGATGACTAATATCTCACACTATAAATTTCCTCACATTCGGAAATTTTCTCAACTTCTTCTTCTTTTCTTCTTCATTTAAATTGTAATGGACACTTTTATTGTGGGTGTACTTGAGTGAAGCAATTCACAATCAATCAAGTCTTCCTCTATCTTGTGTTCTAGAAGAACATATATTGAGCGCTGGAATGGATGCAAATGAAATCTTTTCTTACAAAAAAGCTTTATGAATGCGCAACTTACCGCCGGCTGCTACATACTACTGCAAATTATCTATATCATTGTACACTGGTGATGAGTTCAAATTGACGACAGGAACTATCAACAATTGAGAGTGGCCGGCATTGATTAGACACAGTGACGATTGCCAACTTCTTGAATCAAGGTTTGACTTGGATCTGTTGCTTTATATCATTTTGTTTGTTGTGATTTCCTGTATTTGTTTGATCACCATCTATCATGGAGAAGACAATCGTTACGTCAAAGTCACTCATACACCCGCCTCTTGATGTGGCTGCCAGATTCTTGTTCGCCTTCAAATCTCATGTCCTCACAGTTTATTGTGTACCAAAATAGTAAACACCGTACATCTACCTAGATCTTTGCGCCAATGGCAATGCAAAATTGCCTGAACCAAATTTACGAAATGGTGCCTTTTTACGACGAGCTCTGGCACGTTCATTCCAGTAAGCCGAATGCACGACTTGGTCTCAAGCTCTGCACCTGGTCCTTTCCGTTGAATGGATCATGGTTATCAATGGAGGAATTATGTCTATTGTTTTGACGTCTTCACACCACTCATCCGAAGCTGACAACAGATTAGACATGGATCACTGACATATCTCGAATGCCGCGGAATGACAGCTTGCCTTGGAGTTGTGCATTTCCGAGAAGGATATACTAACATGGTTCAATAAATGGAAGGATTGTAACAATCGACATGTAATATCTACCTCTTGCGTTCTCGAAATACATTCGATGATCCTTGAGATTTCTCCTATCGATTGTGAAGTTTGTCCTGTTGTTATATCCTACTTCAGATGACTCCTTGTGAGCAGCGTTCATGTGGAAGATAGACATCAGCGCCTCGAGATCGTCTGAAGACGAATTATCGGCATGCAATTGAACCTCTATTTTGCCTTTGCCAATGAATTCCAGAGCGGGGAACGAGGTCGTGCTGGACTTCAGTCAATCTTCGGAGCTGTCCAAGTTTATAACGCTGCTGCTCGTTGATTGCAACCTCCGTTTTGTGGAATGGGAATCCGATATGAACTCCGATGTCTCGGACTCGCCTCGAGAGTGACGGGTACGTGAGTAGGACCGTGTCTAAGTCGTCAATGAGCATACTAGGCGGCCACATTTTCTTCCACCAGATTGCCCCAACCATGACTTGAGCTCAGGCTCAACTACGTGCACGATACAGAAACGAAGTCAAAGCCTAGCATTGTTAGAAGTCAGAAAGCATCAAGGCATACCTAGGTAGAGAGCAGCTTAATGACGTGATGTACTGGGGCCATCCGAAGCGGTCAGATTGAATCTGTAGTGTTCGTCGACCTGCTGCTCTGGTAGGTTCTCAGTTGATGAGGGGCAGATCAGATAGTAAGCTGCATACTGCTAGATATGTACATTCACCAGCGCTCTCTAAATTCTGCCCCGTCACATCGGGTCCTCAAATCGTTTTAATCGAGTTGATTGGATTGACCATAGATAGTGTGATCTTAGTACAGTTTTACTATATCGATAGGTAATTGGACGAGTTGTGTGAATTGATTCGGACTTTCTTTGAGAGAGGGAGGGGGAAAGTAGGAGAAACTGTTTGAGATTCACAGGGACAAGTGGTCTTGTGATGGAGAACAGTTTGCAAGATAAAACCGACAGAGATACTCGGTGTTGGAGTATAATAAGTTGAGAGCTGTTGCTGTATTGATTCGAATCAGTGAATCTTCCCATAGCTAGGAACACGAAAAGCTCTGAAAATTTGATGGGAAAATATGGCATATTCAATAAATCCTGTGAGACCACTGCTCTGCATGGCTGTAACGATATACCCATTTCCTGAACAACATTTTACTTTCTTCTTTCTTATTTGAAACTCAATATGGACAAGTAGGATATCTTTCATCTTTGTGTTGGTAGAGAGGAAGGAAATAAATAGGCGAAGTTCGAGTGAAATATTGATTGATCAACGTGATTACTGAACTTCAGTATATTCACTTTTTCAAGTTTACAGATATGAAAACAGATAGAACTGAGAAGCCCGAGGTGATTTAGAACCTTTTCATGCTGATTTGATTTTTTTACTAGCGTATTTTACCAATTCAAGCAAAGTTCTTGTGACCCCGAATTATTGAGTTATTATATTCTCAGTAGGATAAACAATCAAGTTCCTCAAAAAGACAAAACAGAACAAAGTCTTCTATTTTACACAACAATCCTCAAAACTTTCTTTACTTCCTTCCTTGAATTCTATATTCAAAGAAACATTCTGTAAAAACATTACCTGCTATGCAATAGTTGTTTTTCGTTAAACACAAATTACCTCAACCTCAAGGTTCGAACTGCCTATCAGACAAATCATACAACATGGACTACAGCAACGGTCTTGGCATATCATTTGGCACAACTCATTCTGAATACAAGGAACGAGATGGCAATTACGGAGAAGCAATTGAATCCGACAATGATCATCAACTTCACCATGGTCAGCAGATGGAAGACAACGGAGAGACTTCAGGACATCAGACATCCTTTGAGTCCCAACTTGTCGATCCTGACATAACTCCCCGACCAAACACATCTTACCAAAACCAATTCACCCCCATCAATCAAATTTCGAGTGGTGCACCAGCTCAATCTTATGGTCAACCATATCAAAACAGTCAGCCAAGCACTTCCTTCCATCCTTTGGAAAAGAATGGACATCTCGAGGGCCAGATGAATGCCATTCTTGCTGTAGAGAACAGCTATGGCCAAAGAATCCCTCAATCTTTGCAGTTTGGTGCAGATCCTCAATTCAACAATCATGATCATTCTGAGTATGGCTTCCAGAATATGTCAAACCAAAATCGAACGGGTAATCAACATGGCTTTGAAAACTCTGGCATGCAATCTCAGCAATTCATGCAGAACGATCAGCGGTCCATGTCTCCCGCAGGCATGCAACACCAAGAAGATCCGGCTCATTCCCCGCCCTATAATCTTCAGACCTATCGGAATTTATACAGGAACCAAGAAGATTTCAGCGAAGTGAGCGAGTGCTTGAGCTTTCAGCCAAAGTCTGGATGTTTGAGGCAAAGTCAATTTCGTCCGGTGCGTAGAAACACATATCAGATGCAAGGAAATCAATTTCGCAACCAAGCTCAAATTTCATCTTCGGCAAGACCAGGAAAGCTCTCAGACAAGAACAAAAAATCGTCTGGTCGCGCTCCCAGAAAGAAAGGTGGAGGACCCGAAGAAAGATACTGGAATGGATTCGACACATATCGCTCAATGTGGCCTGTTCAGCATTGGATCATCGAAAATATTTTACCCGGATCATGTATTTCTCACTTTACTCCTGCCGAGCAAGAAGGCGTCATTACATTGATGCAACGTTTAGGATTGGACGATTGGCCGATTACATGCAATGAGGACATCCAAAAATTCTTGGATCATGTTGAGTCAGTCAAATCTAATTTCAACACGAAACAAGCCCGACTCAGAGCAGAGGCAGGTTTGCCTGAACTTCCTCCACCTGAAGAGAAGCAAAATGCTCAAGAGAATGATGAGACTGCTCTACGACCTACATCTTCATTTCCAGAAGTATCACCAAGTTACGTTCTTACCTCCGACCATGGAGAACCAGTCTTTGGCCAGGATCCAAGAGACTATCGTCTCGTAGGCAAGGGTCACTCGCATCAGCCAAACGATAGATCCTTCATTCCAGTAGGTTCAGAACAAGAGACCATTGCGAGTAACAAGCTGTCAGCTCAAGAACTCAATTCACAACTTCGTCCTCCACCCCTCATCACTCAACATTTTCGTCCTCCAACTTTCGAATCACATTGCGGTATGCAGAATCAACAAGGATATCCATTGGTTCATCCAAGTAATCTCCTTCATCCATCTATGGAGCAAGGCATGAATAGACCTTTGGATTTCTCGTATCAACCTGTTGGATTCAATGGTGGTCCGCCACAGCAATATCATCACCATGGTTTTGCGAGTCAAGCACAACAATATCATCACCATGGTTTTCCGAGTCAAACACAGCAATACCATCACCACGGTCAACCTTTTGAGTATAGCTCCTCTCATGGTTATTCCCCTCCTTCTCCCCATCCATATACAAGTAACACTGCTGACAAATTATCTCATCTAGCTCCACCCCTAGAAACAACTAAAGGGTACGAGGAAGACGACGAACAGCAAGAGGAGGTAACAGGCATTGAGTCTCAGTCTCAGACCGTAAAACAGGAATATAGACAGGAACAAGAACAGGAACAATCCGAATCCCCACAACAAGAAGACTCCCGACCCACAGAATCCGATCGCGAGCTCGACTCCGACGGTTGGTCCATCCATTCCGACGAAATGCGTTCTCCACCACCAAACATCTATCCCATTCCCCGACCCGCAAATATGCCACCTTCGCCTCCACGACCACCACCTTGTTTTCCTAGTAATGAGATCAATCCTTTCGGAGCGAGAAATAAGCCTCCTCCGATTATTTGGCCTGGAAATCGCGTGTGGGGTATTGCTCCGGGTGCATTTGATGAGAATGGGGCTATCAGGGATTGGGATAAGGCGAAGAGGAGAGAAATTGGCGAGGGGAATTGTGGATGTAGAGGGTTGTTTCATGGTGGGAAGGGGCTTTATTATGTGAATGGTGGTGGTGGGGAGAAGGTTTGGTGTGATGGGGGAGAAGGGGAGGGTGGTGAGGTGGAGAGTGGGGAAGAGGGAGACGATGAGGACGATGATGAAGATGAAGGGGAGGAAGATGAACAATTAAGAGGAGTTCTGAAATGGGTTAAGCAGGCCTTAACTCATGGACCGGAATTAGATAAGAATGAAGAGAGAAGAAAGGAAGTGGAGTATCGAGCGATGATGGCGAAGAAGGTGAAAGAAATACTCGCTAGGAAGAAAGCTAAGGAAAGAGGAGAAATTCCAGGATTTGGTTTTGATGGGGATTTTGAGTCGACGAATGTTGAATCATCATTCGGTGATGCTGAAAGTTTCGAGGGGTATGATGCGAACCACTTCGATCCAAAGTCAACCGGCAAAGGGAAACGAAAGGCGAGAACCGTTGACTCAGACGATACCTTCGATGAAGGCTTACCAGTCAAGAAGAAGTGGAAAGGAAAAGGTAGAGCTGCGGAATCAGATGAAGAACTAGATGAGCGGGAGGTTGCTAGGAAATACGCTAACAAGGAGAAAAACAAGGGAAAAGGAAAAGGAAAAGGAAAAGTGTTCGAACTCCCCAAGGAAATGGAAGTCGAAGATTACCTATTTGGAGATTCTGCAGAAACGGCTCGATGGGCTGAGGGATTGGGTCTGCAATCTTTTGGGAACGAACAGGAATGGAATGAGGATAATGACGATCATTTCTTCGAGGAAAATGATACCGCACAGGGTGGCTACGACACACGATATCCGAATAACTCCGAACTTGAAAATGAATCTGCAACTACAGATCCCGAGCTCGCAGCAACAGGTATCATCCTTCCAGCTACATTCCCCAATCTCTCTCACCCTTCATCTGAAGAAGCAATTGAAGCGATTCCCAGACCAGCACCCTATCTCTCACCCCGCAACCCAGGCCCCTTCAACATCTTCCAATCACTCCTCCTCACCCCCGAAATAATCCTCGAATTTATCTTACACCTCTCCCCAAAGAATCTCCTCACACTCTACTCCATCTCCCGACCCTTCCACACCATCCTCACCCACTGGATGGCCCACTCCATAAAATCCATCGTCAAGCACCAAGCACCCTACTCCTACACCATCTACCCCTTCTACCTTTACCGCGAACTCAGCATTCCCGATCCCCTCGGGACCCTCAACTCCTCCAACCAAATCCGCCGCGTCCCCAGCCTCAAATACCACCAAATGGTCCTGCACCGCTGCCGCGTCGTCCGCGACATCCTCGCCTCTCTCGCACGCCAGCATCTACGCTGTCCCCCAGGTACAAACCATTCTCTCAAAAAAGTCTGGTTCCTCATGGACCTCTCCACAACCCTCGACCGCGTCCGCTTAATCCACAACCGCGTCTTCTTCACCGACCAAGACCTCTACAATATCCAACACTTCATCGTCAAACTCGACATGCGACTCAACTGTCCCACCGACGGCCCGGGCTCCGATTTCCTCCGCAAACTCATGCTCGGGCAAACGGGGGCTCACGCCGCTGTTTAGATTACTCACACGAACCGGATTCACAGATCTCTATGAACTCTATCAATACAGCGTGCGTTATTCCTATACTCCTCTCACGCCCGCCCCCGATCTCCATCTCGGACTCTTCGGCGTCCCGGAACATGAAATTGGGATCGCGCATCTCGAAGGCTGGGGGAAGGGATCAAAACACCTGATGCGCATTGATGAACTGGTGATGCGCGAAGCTACACGCAGAGAACTAGGCTTTAAAGAACACATCATGATGATGTTACTCTGGGGATATGTGGATCCGATGACGGGGGAGAATCTGCAGCCGAGTAGAGAGGAAGTGTATATGAGTGATGGGGAGGGAGAGGAGGCGGAGAGTGAGGGGGATGCGTGGGAGGGGACGGGGATGAATATGCAGAGGTTGGAAGAGGTTGTTTTGGGGAGGGCGGAGGGGAGTGATGAGGATGAGGATGAGGATGGAGAAGAGCAATGGGAAGATGAAAATGAATTTGAAAATGAAGATGATCCATGGTTATGATGTAGTTTTAAATCAGCTCGGAAAACAAGATTTCGCACTCCTGAAATAGCTTGAAGCTATTTTATTCTATTCTATTCTATTCTATGACACTACATAACATTACATAACATCAACACACAGAAAATGTGACACACATACCTTTTTTGCTCAAACCCATCGACGATAACTTGTCCGTGTGAAGAATATCAATACCAAAACTCCAGACAAAAAATGCATTGCTGAATACCTAGAACCTATCTACCCTCCTACATACCTCTCTTACATATACCTAGATACTTCATCCGTGTTACGTCTACCGTTACGAACATGATGAAATATGAAGATCAATCCAAAAACCTCACATCCATATCTTGTCCTATTGATACTCGAATGCAAGCCAAACGCAATAAAGAAATCTCGAATGCATTCCTAGATTTCCGCCTATACTATCTTCTACTAGGTAGCACATGTGAACCTCTCCTCACAAAACACGAGTCTAGGATCATTAACCCAACCTATTTCTCCATCCAACTTTCAACCTCATTCTCTCATGAGTATTCAAATCCTCCAACCTAAATTCCATAAACACCAAACTAGATTGAGTACTCCATCGTCACAGGGAGATCTGAACATCTCTCTTGGTTCACAGAACACCAACCATAGTACATAGTCTCTAGTAATCACAAATTCACAATCACAGCGAGATTCAAGTTCCAAAAAGTTCAACTTCAACCAAATGTATTCATTGGCGAAGCAGAAAAAACGAGAAGTGTTATCTGCATCCTTCAGCCTATCTACTTTACTACTGATTTTACCAATCCAGCAATTCACTCCTCTCCTCTACATCCTATCACCTCCATCCACCACCACACAATAAAACTCGACGCACATCCCAACGGACCACCGAAAAACAGAAAGAGTAGACACGAAAGGAAAAGTAAGCTTGCTACAATGAAAGAAATAATAACAACCTAATCACATCCATCCATCCATCCATCCGTCCATGCATACCATCCTCGAACCATCGACCGTCATCAGACCGTCCACACCCACCCAATAAACCACCAGCCTTCCATCCGTTCACCCCATCCATGCCCAAGTACCCCCAGCCCAGCGACCAAACGATCAAACCTTCTAGCAACCCAGCCCCAAATGTTCTAAATTTCCACCTGCACCCCCACCAAACTAACCAATTATCGTATCAATAAAGAAAACGATAAATGCTTGAATGCTAGTATGTATTTTTCCCTTCTCCCAGAAATGTTACGAAGGAAAAAAAAAGACAGGAGAAGAGACTCAAAGTATTCGACACAAAGTGCTAGAGAAGCCGGAACAAGGTAAAAACAACTTCATCGCGAGCACACACAAACCGAAAGGAAAAATACAAGAAAGCGCAATAGGAAACTTGAAAACAACATGCAGAAATCCTAACCCTTCTCGAAAAACCCCCTTTGCCAATATCCATCACCTTCGCCATCGCCATGCTTTTTTGTTATTTGATCGAAAATGCGTTTGTCATATTTCCATACTCCGGTACGAAGAAGGAAGATCAGACCAGATATTAGACAGAGAAGACCGAGGACCCCGTCCAAACACCCCAACCACATTAACGACAGCACTCCTTCGCTATGCACCAAGCCAAGATCCAACCGATTCAAGTCGAAATCGTCCCTTTATACACCATCAAGCATATTTCGATCCGTTTCCATTTGCTCGCTTTCCCTTTGCAGCCCTGAAGTCAGATTCCACCTTCCGCATTAAAAGAACTCCGCCCTCCAAACTTCGTTCCAGTCAATTTTCCACATCATATAAATTTTCCCTGCCATTTTCTTTATACCGCTACCGATCCAACCGACTACCCATCCCAACCACCCATGTATGCGCTAAATCCACCTTATAAACCATTGTAACAAATCCACAAAGCCCCGACCGATAGATGTCTATCTTTCATTCAAACCCCAAAGCCGTCCTGAAATATAGTCACAGAAGAGATAGTCGAAACGTATAAATGGAAAAGGATGAGCGCAAATACCAAGAACACCTTAAGCTGGGGACTTGCTTGGAGCAGCAGCACCATTTTGACGAACATCACCACTACCCATAGACAAGTTGTTGATTCCAGATGAAAGGAAAGCGAATGGATCACTTTCACCTTGGTTAGCGTAGAAGTTGTTTGAAGGCCCTGCGGATGCTGGACCGTTGCTGGCTGATTGGAATGCCGCCTCTGCAGATCGGCTATCAAATCCCCCTGCGCCGGCAGAGTGAACACCTGTTGCAGGACCGAAGTGAGTATTCAATGATGGGTATGAACCAGTTGGTGCGCCAAGACCGGATGGAAGAGCATAAGTGCTAGGTGGACCACCAAAGTGTTGACCACCGTAACCACCGGATGGACCGAAGCCACCAGCAGCTGAGGCAAAAGGACCTGGGCCAGGTGTACCAGCCATGGAGTTGGAACCCATGCTATAGCTGTTCGCAGCGTCCATTGGGGAAGGGTAACCAGAATCGGCAACGACAGCGGCACCAGCACGGCTTGCGCCGCATCTCAAACAGCTGACATTCTTGGCAAAGTTGTGGTAACCACACCCTTCAGATCCGCACTTCCAATCACCGGCACGGAAAGGAACAACGCCACCACCACCTCCCATCCTTCCACCTCCGTGGCCACCTCCCATACCTCCGTGATGTCCCATGTGTTGTGGAGGGGGCATCATTGCTGGTGGACCATAGCCGTAGCCACCACCACCACCACCATATCCACCACCCATCTCAGCAGCTGGGCCACCACCCATGGCTGGGAATGAGCATCGGAAACAAGCAGTTCTACGCTGGAAGTTAGAGAAACCACATGATGGACACGTCCAGTCTCCAGGGCGAGGTCTGTTTTTGCTCGGTGGGAACGGAGTGAGAATTTCTGCAGCACGGTCAAGCACGCGACTTGAAGATGGTGAAACCTCGATAGCTTTCTCATTGAGAGCTCGTCCGTTCATGCAGAGACTTTCGGCGGCCTGAAAATGTGTTAGAGAATGACCACGAATATTGAAAAATTTGATAAGTGAAGCAATAGATAGCCTAAGCAATTTATCGTAAAGTAAAAGAATGTATTCATAAGGAGCTGAAACCACGATTTGATGTTCGTGGCACAATACACAATAAAGGAAAAGATGAGTGGGGGGATTTTGGCTGACCTCTTCATGGGATGAAAATACTGCGAATCCAGAACCAGTAGGTTTGTGTTGATCTGGGGTTCGGAGCGTCCAGAAAGCAATGGGACGACCACCGAATTGGGTGAACCAGCTCTCGAGCTCCGATTGAGTGGTATCATGGGGAAGTCCTGCCATGTGGAGAACTTTGCTGCGCTCCGAAAGAAAAGCTCTAACATCAGCACGGGCATCCATAGGTCTGGTAAGAACATCAGGATGTTCATGTGGAGGTTGTGACTTGCGAATCAACCCTCTGAGGACTCTAGCAAGGGTAACCGCTTCTTCCATTGCACGACGAGGGGAGGCCGGGGCCAAAGCTTGGAGGTGGAATGGAAGGTTGTGCTTGATTGGAGCACTAGCTTGAACAGGTTCAACTTCCAACGCGGCGCAAATATTTGAAAGCATAGATGGACCGAATGGCAGAGATTCAGGGTGATGTTGTTGCCATCTTTGGTACTCAGTTCGGAGGTCAAAAGTTCTGGAATGTTGTAAGTATGGAGGCAGCACAACAGCTTTGTCACGAGCTTCGCGGGGAAGCTGGACTCGAAGATCCCATGAATCAAGTGTAACAAAAGAGAAGTCGAGATTTTGAGATGTGAGGTGCTCGGCAGCAAATGTATCGAATCGGTTGATCGCATCGCGGAAAGTACCTGCAGTACGGACATGTTCCCACGTAAGAGTAGTCAAGCTCGCTGTTAATATTTAATTAGTCAATATTCGGAAGGATCGGTATCGAGGCCGTCTGGAAGGATTGAGGTCCGTATCTGATAAGATGGACCCGTTCGGCACTTACTGCACAGAGGAGTAATTGGAGTGTTAATGGGCTTAACAAGAACACTCTCGCGATGAAGCTGGAAAATGTGTTGATTAGCAAGTCGACTTCCGCAGATAGATGGAATCTTAATTAAGATAGAAACGCACCTCATCACAACTTTTTGCGTCGAGCAAAATCCACCCAAGCTCTATCACCTCAGCGGAATCTTTCGTGACGTAAACGCCATGTTCATCACAAGTGGTAGCAACGTGAATGACAACATATCGATCTAAGTTGCCTTGCTGGCCTTGAATAGCTGTCGACATATTTTAGGAAGCTTTCAAAGTGTGCGAAGTATAGAAGATGAACGATTCTTCCGAATTGAGAGAGATGAGTTGTTGGGGGGAGGGGGGTAGTTGATGTAATCGATGGGACCTCGGAAAAAACGAAGAGGAGGGTAAGGAAGAGGTAAAGAGGTCAAGAGGTCAAGAAGTCAAGAAGTCAAGAGGTGCTTGCAACCAGATTAAGAAAGAAGAGAAAGTTTAAAGAAACGTGCTTTAACCTTAGGTATTCAATATCTATCTAACCTTCGGGAAAAGGAAGGTTGGTTGAGAATTGGAGAAAAGAGGGAAAGGAGGATGTGGAGCTAAAAAATCTTGTGGTAAACGGTAAACAGCAAGTTGGAAATTTGACGGGCAGGGAACATTTGAGATTTTAGCGGGACGAGAAAAGAGGAAGAGGAAGAAGAAGAAGAAGAAGAAGAGGAAGAGGAAGAAGCAGAGACTTGTTGGAGCTTTGGGACCATAATATGGAGTGAAGATGGAAAGAAGAGATAGAGAGAGATATATAAATATTTAATGAATATTAAGAATTAAATAATAAATAATAAATTTTAATAGTACATATGTAAATATATAAACAATAAAAATTACAACTTTACTTTTATTTTTTTTTATTTTTTTATAAAAAAAGAGAACATGTGTAACCACATCACATTACAGATCAAATGAAATATCTTATTATTTGTAGATTAATTATTTATATACAAATACACATATAGAGAC